ATCCCTCTATCATCCATCCATCCATCCCTCTATCATTCATCCATCCAGCTCTCTGTCATACATCCATCCATCCATCTATCTAATTTTCCACGTACATGCTGCTTTTCTCCAATAGAATACAAGCTCCTTTAGGCCTGAGGACATTTTGCTTTTTGTCTTTGGGTCCCCAGCATCTTGCACAATTCTTGGCACATGCTTAAAAAATGCTTTTTGAATAAATGTATATTACAGGGTACCTTCATTCTTTGCACATCAAATTATCCCTTAAAAATGGTGTTCAGAACTGAATGCCATTCTCTACAGGTGTTCTGATCATCTCAGAGTTGACTGCTCCACTTCCAATACTGTAGCCCCAAAGTGCATTGGCTTTCCTGGCTACTGTATCACAATATGGGTGCATAATGAGCTCACATGAAGCTAAGACTCTCTAACCGTTTTCAAATAAATTGTTATTTTCAGGTCCCTCACATTCTACATGAGCATAGTTGATATTTTTTGGAACCTAAGAAAGTGTTATATATTTTTTTCTATTAAATTTCATCTTTTTAGTGTGAGACCATCATTTTACCAAGTAGCTACCTTTATGGATTCCAGTTCTGTCATCTAATACATTATCAACTGAAAATTTGATGAACATTCCTATATTTTTTATCCAAGACATTAATAAAAAATGCCAAGTAGAATAGGGCACCAAGTCATTCCACTAGAGACATCCCTCCAGGTAGCCATTAATCTATTTATCAGTAGCCTTTGGTTGTTCATTCATCTACAAACACACAAACCTGAGGATATTGTCATTCCATCTACATTCCTCCATTTAGAAGTCATACTTAATTCCTCCCTGTACTCCCCCCCAACCCAAATTCAATCATTAACCAAATAATAACAAAATTTCCCACAATTCATTGTCTCTTATATTCCTTCTACTCTCTGCCCATTTACTATTCCACTGTCAGATTTCCCTTCCTAAGATATTTTTCATCTTGTTACTGATTAAAAAAAAAACCTGCCACAAAATTTGCCATTTGATGATTTTCTTTTTCATTCATTTTCCTTGTGGTGCCATTCTTTAGTACGGTTGATATGGATCTGTCTTGCTTTGGCTATGATGCCAAAAGGCCTGCTTTCCACAATACATCCCTTGGGAGTCGTGTAATTGAACAAGACATCTATATTAGATTTGAAGGAAGGGCACTCTTCTGACTCATTCGGATGATTAAATTATCTTAAAAGTGTCTTGCCACTATGTTATGGTTACTTTCTTCACCACAAGTTATTATCTGTAACTATTTTAAAGATGGGATCAAATATGTACAAGTTGTGTTCAGACAAGATAGCTCTATTTGAGGCAGCTAGATAGTTTAGTGGATAGAGTGCTAGCTTTGGAATCTGAAAGACCTGAGATTAAGTGTCTTGATACTTACTATCAAGATATTTACTACCTGTGTGACTCTGAGTAAATAACGTAATCTCTTCATCTAGATTTCTTCATCTTTAATTATAGGTTACTATGTTGTTGGTAATATATTGCACCAGCTTTGATTGGCTGAAAGACCTTAGTCTTGAAGATAGAAGGCATAATTTCAAATTCTAACTCTTCTATATATTAACTATGTAATTGCCTTAGTTTCCTTATAGTAAGAGCACCTATTTCATAGTATTGTTGTGAAGTTCAAATAAGACGATATTTATGAAATGCTTTGCAAATCTTAAATCACCAAAGAAGTGTTAGCCATTGTTCTTGTTCTTATTCTTATTTCATTTAGATGTGTCTGCAACCTTGTAGATAATGACTGGAAAAAATGTAAAATCGTAGAATTTTCAAGCTAAGAGGTCACCTGACCAACTCCCTCCTTTAAGGACATGGAAGCTGAAACCCAGAGCAGTTAACACTTGACTAAGGTTGCTGTCATTTCAGTTTCTCCATTGTTTTTGAGAAGGATCAATGACAACAGGAGTAACGTCCTGACTTGCCGATGAATTGGATTTAAGTGAGATAGAGTTGTACAAAGTTATTAACGTCACTCTCTCTTCCAGAGTCATCGAAGTCCAGTGGCAAGACAAAAGCCAGGACAATTGGCAATGGCCCAGGATGCACAGAGTGACCTTGATGTCTCCCATGCTTGACAGTGGTCCAATACACCTGCTTCAGCTGCTTTAATGGCCATCGTAACAGATTGTTCTCATCCACCCATTCTTCTGGGTGTCTTTATGTGCTTGGGGTACCTCACTGACTAAGCTAGTTAAGGCAGACACAGAACTAAAATCTACAACTTTTGATTTATTTCCATTCTTTCCTTCCAAGTGATGGCCATCGAACTCAGGTTCAATGTACAAAGTGATTTAAAAAACCCTTTGTATCTAGCAAGATATACCTGAGAGGAGGTAGGGGTACAGATATGAGGTATAGGATCATAAAATTTAGAGCTAGATGGGGGCTTAGGGGACATCTCATTCAATGCCATCATTTTACAGATAAAGAACTGAGTCTCAGGGTGGGGAAATGATTTGTCCTATATCAAAAAGCTAGTATGTAAGAAAGTTTGTATTTGAAACCATGCCTTCTATATTATTTCCAAATCCAGGACTTTATCATCAATCAGAGTTGGTGCAATATATTACCTATAATCTAATAACATAATTATATAATATCATTCCACAGCTGTGCAACTGGGCAGGTTAGATATTGACTTCTACATTTCAGAAGCTCAAGCTAGAACCAAAACTCAATATAATTCACCATAAAACAATAGTTAATATTGGACATGTCAGAAGTATGAAAAATCAGATTGTCTGGGAAGAATGTTCTAACTCAGAAAGAGAGTGTAGGAAAGAAAAAAAAATAGTAAGGCATCCACTCACTATGTGGATATTACAAGCAAGGCCCCTTTAAAGATGCAGAATTAGAGACCAAAATTTCTATAAAATAACAATTCCTAGGAACATCCATAAGCACAATGAATTTGCATGCCTTGGTTTGCTCTTTTTTTAATTTCCCTCCGAAACTTTGGATTCTCCTTACACTTTACTTTCAATCTGACTTTTGCTACTGTCTGCTGAATCCAGTGAATTCCACTGGTCTGTAGATCTTGATTCTGGCTCCTGTGTGTCCCTTTGTGCCACAGCTGTTCTGTTTTTACTCTAGGTTTCATACTCTGATAACTACTTATGTCTCTTTCTACTTCAGATAGTATAGCAATTCATATGCATGTCCAGTGCAAAGCATCCATCCCTTCTGCCAGTCTCATATAGTCCTCTCATTGACAATTGTGACTGGATCACATGAAAACCATTGTCATACAAAAGCAACCATAGAAGGCCTGTTGTCAAACAAAGTCAAATTAAGGTAAAAATCACAAAAAAGTTATCCATAGCTGGCAATGCCTCAGCTTTATGGGGAAAAAAAATAAAACAACCTTGCTAACATCACAGTAGAATGGCAGTTCCTTTGAAAACAAAGACTATGTTTTGTTTTTTCCTTTCTATTTCCAGTGCCGGAGATAGTGTCCTGCTCATAGCAGACACTTAATAAATTCTTGTGGACATGAATTGAATTGACTAGCATGGAGACATTTGAAAATAAATGTTTAGATCTTTAAAAAATATATATTTTATATACAGTGATACCAATATAGTTAATTAACTTTGCTTTTCTATGTTCAGAATATAAGGTATTCCAGATACAGTGAAGTATCTTGTAGGAGAAAATATGTAGACATTGGGGACTCAAGATTAGGGAATTATTTTTTAAGAAAATGTATTTGTTTATTAAGAAAATAAAATATATGATAGAAGGTTAAAAAAAAGAAAATAAATGTTTAGGGCAAGTAAACGTCTGTGTTCTCCAAATCAAGGATTTTTAACAATTCCTATGTCATGGGCTCCTTTTCCACAATCTGGAAAGCCTATGGACCCCTTCTCAGTGTTTTTAAATTAATAAAACACACGGGATCACAAAGGAGATCACTTCTATTGAAATATAGTTCTGACAATGGCCTTATTGGTCCATCGAAGTCATATTTTTTGACTGATTACAAGGCACTATCAATGTGCCATAACACCTGCCATTTATTCTTATTGCAATTGACTCTTATTGTAATAATCTTCAATACTCTTAACTCTAAACTTTATTTATACAGCAATTGTCTGACTTCTTTTTAAAATCATTTTAACTAAAAATTGCCCTATAAGGATATGAAGGACAAACACCCTAAGTACAGAGGGTTAAAGCACACTAATCAATGGCTGGTGACAAGTAAAATTCTTCCATGTATTCTCAATTCTGCTTCTGAAAATTAATTCAGTAATCATACTAAGTGCTATATGGCAGGTCTTAGGCAGCATATAGGAGAAAGGGTAGGTTGCTAATAAGCCCATATTTTATTCTGAACACATCAGAGAACTAATTAGGTTTAAGAAAGGCAATCCTAAACCATAGATCTAAATGTAGCTATTATTGGCCAGTCTTCCTATTTATTTTGGGTTTCTGTTGGAAACCTAATTGTTTGATTATTTAAAAAATATGAGCAGAAGCTCTTTGTTGTATTTGGCCAATATAAACACATTTAAAGGATAGATTTTGTCTTGCAACCATGGTGAAAGCAAAGATATCTTTGTGGGGTTTGAGCCACCACCAATGAAGATTCTAAAATACCCTGTTGAGCATAGCCTTGGATAGAGTGGGACTCAAGGACAAGTTTAGTCATGAAATTGGGGGTAAGGGTAGGAAAGTATTAAAGATCTAGAAGCAAGCAGAATGTCAGTTATTACCATGCGAAAAGCAGATGGGGACAACAGGCTACATACGTGTCCAAGATTGACAATATAGAAGCATTAGGATTCAAAGGTCACAAAATGTAAATATTTCTTATATCAGGGAGCATATAAGGAACTGGGGGCCAGATAGTCTTAAGCTCTTCCAAAAGTTATGCTACCATCTGACTCACGTGATGTAATTAATATTTTTAAAGAATAACAATATTAATAGCTAACATTTACATAGCATTCAGTATGTGTCAGACACCGTGCTAAATGCTTTACAATTATTATCTCACTTGATCCTCACAATAACCCTGGTGGGTAGATATTATTATCACCAATTTGTAGATGAGGAAACTGAGGCAAAGAGAAGTCAGCTGGTAAGTTTCAGCAGCAAGATATAAGACTGCTCCATTAAGCACAAGTGTAAGGCTAGCCTGTTTATCTTCTGCTGGAGCTTCTGCTGCTGACAATTCCTCACTGCTGCTAACCTTTCCCAGATTGAAAAAATGGAGTTAGTACTCCACCTCATCATCACTTCCCTCTACTCCTCTGATTGAAAGGTGGAGTGATGAATTCTAAAACCTTCACTTAAGGAAGGAGCTTAGCTCAGAACATCTCTTCATTTCTGGTGGCTGCACTACTCTGGGATGTCTCTGACTTCTCCATCATATCCCTGAGTCAAATACATTCCTCTCTACCCCACAACTCCTTTCAGCTTCCTGTTAGGCATTGTCTTCCCCAATTAGATTATAAGTTCTTTGAGAACAGGAACTGTCTTGTTTATATTTCTGTCTCAAATGCATAGTACAGTGTTTGGCACGTAGTAATAATAATTAATTAATGTGCATTAACTAATAATTAATACATAATTAACAACTGTTTATTAATTATTGACTGAGTTCACACAGTGGTGGATATAATATTTGATTACAGTGAAATAAAACATTCAATGTGGAATTGGTCAATGAAAATGACCAGTTGAGAGAGCTTATCATTGAAACGGTATTCACGCATCAGTTAATTCACACCAATCTTACTGAACTCGATTTTTATTTTGTAAAACCAGATTGTTCAGTCAAATGTATTTCAACATATCTATTCATATTTTCTTTGGCTTATCATGTATTTTGGTTGAGTCTGGAACTGGCTTCCTTCAATCTGATGTTTTCCCCTTGCTTAACAAATTAGGATTGATATAAGGGAAAATGTTGAGCCTGATTCCAAACAAGTCCCATATGTGTAAACATCTGGGACTTCACAGCACATCACAGAGAAATGGTAGCATGAATTCGACTGCAGACTTACCTCTCTGCCAAAGTTTGCTGTTCATTGATTCCAACATTAAAGAGGACTGGGTATACATGTAACAGCTTCCCTTCTTTAATCTCTAGTGGCAGCAACTCAAACATCCTGGTTGGAAGCTTGACCTCTATTACATAATGTTCTCTGGAACAAAACAAACAAACAAATAAACAAAAAAGGAGGGGAGAAGAGTTTCACATCCTCTATGTTACTATGATTCTATGAAAAAAGGCAAGGCATCCCTTTAGAATGTAATTCAAAAGTGAGTGGAATGAGGAATTCCTTATTATTGGCTTATTGGAGGAGGGAGCTGATGATATCCTATAATCTTCATCCAATTATGTTTCCAATTACATCCTATAATCTTAACTCAATCTGGTGGGCAAACCATTCATATAAAAATATGAAAACAAAATTCACTAAATGATCAATGGATCATAAGATTCCTGATTTAGAGATGGAACTAAACTTAGAGGTGATCTCTAGTCTCACCCCTTCATTGCACCAAGGAGGAAATTGAGGCTAAGTGAGGTGAGCTGAATTTCCCAAGGTCATAGATAGCAAGAGCCAATAACGATAGCTTTGTTCCCACAGTGAAAACTAAACCAAGTCAACAAGCATATACGTATTAATAAGTTCCTACTATTTGCCGGCCACTGTGCTAATCACTAGACCGAGCCAAAAGTTGTGTTTTCAAGATTTGTGGAGTAGGGAAGTCTGGTTGTCATTAGCTATGAAAATGTAGGCAGTTAACTTATGTTTAAGGTAAACTACAGTGAAATAGTCTAAGAATAAGGTAATACTTAAGTTTTATTGTATGTCTGGGGGCAACCAAAGTCACAATCTAAGACAAATAGGCAGTTCCTTTGTCATATCAGCTTCTTTTTTTTTCTTAGTTCTTTCACTGTAAGCATGGACATAAGGATATTGCCACCATGAGCTATCTGGATGTGACCAGGGAGCTGTGCCCTATGGACATTTTGAACTGCTATGAACTCAGTGATGAGGAACAGTATCAGAATTTCTCTTAGAGGCACCATTTATCTGTGGTTGTCATCCTTGTTTTTACTAGCCTTGGTGTGACTATTTACCAATCTCTTAGGAAGGAATATGGAGAAAAAAGCTGGCATTTATGATTAGCATTAAAATGTTTTCAAAATACTTTACATACCAGGTAGTAGATTTTATATATATGTATATATATATATATAATATATATATATATGTCATTATCCCCATTTCACAGGTAGGGAAACAGGCTCAAAAAGTGAAGTGTCAGAGGCAAGGACTGAACCCAAGTCATCTAGATTTTGGATCCAAGACCTCTATTCACTTAGGCTACTTTGCTCCTCATCAATGACTCCATGTTTATATAATGCCCTTCAGATGAAAGACATTCTGCTATTTCTCCATGGGTTTACATGACTGAGTAAGAAACAAAAATGCTAGACATACTTGAACCTCTTCCTACACAAAGGTTTCTTCAATTTCCCCTAGAAAGTTATTCTGTGCTGAATATGAAGGTAACATGATTTTTGTTAGTGCTAATCTCAGCACTTCGTGGGTTGGTACTGACTGGCAGTAATGTGTGAGGAAGACTTATTTCTGGGCTTTTCACAGTTTGATTAAAAGAAATAGCAATGGTTAAAAATAAAATGGTCCATGTTATCCTTGTGAATGAGATTCAGGGTTCCCTTTATCTTTCCCAGTGATCTTTGATTTGGCCTCTGGATGCCTTTAATTAGACAGCAATTCAGCATCTTGCCTACTCAGAAATAAGCATAGACTTTTTTTTTTAATGAGGGCATGTAGGGGTTAATAGTTTCTTTTTAAGCTTTGACATGGAATCTCATGTTATCTGCCCCTAATCAAGAGAAGGGGAAGTGAGAACAGGGTTTCTGAGGATTCTTCCTCTCTTTCTTCCAGTTACAATGTTTCCAGGGACCTTGACCTACATTGAACCAGACTTCTTCCAGTACCTTTACAAAGGGGGAAATTAATAGCCAACGATAAGCAGTGGTTGTTTTGGGGCCTTTCTGATTGAAATGATTTACAAAGCAAAGCTTTTCTTCTCTTTGAGGACTACTCTACAATGCCATCATTTTTCTTAATTATTCCTGATATTTTGCCCATCATGCTCTGACCTTCTAGGCTATTTATTTCCAACCCTTCTCGGAAGGCTCGAAATCTGGGAGTGAATTGACAGGAATAATTAAGAAAAATGGAGGTATATACCCCCGACAGAGGAAATATATCTTTTTTTTTTCTAAAATGTTGCTGCTTTTAGCAAAATTTAATTTACAATCATCTCAAGAATTATGACGCTATTAAGGAAACGATTCCTGCAAAAAGTGAAAACACTTGGTGGTTTAGTTTGGATCCTAATAAAAGGGGAAAAAATAATCACAGTCATGGAATCTTTTAAAATTCCCCATATTTCATGGGAGCATTGACATATTCAGTGCAATAGTAGATCTACAAATATTTACAGAGTTAGGGAATTTCAGAGTCAGAAGAGAGCTCAAGGGTTATCTAGTACCCATAAATACAAAGAATCCCTAGTCTACACAACAAGTGGTCAATTACCCTCTGCCAAGAATGTACTTACAGTGGGAAGGAAACCAATGACCTGAGACAGCCTATTCCACTTTTGAGTGGCTCTCATTTTTAGAACCATTACTAGGCCATGGAAAACTCTTCATCCTGGAAGTTGTCTACACATGGACTTCTTACTTTGGAATTCCCTTTTGCTCCTTTGGCGTCTCCCTCTGATTGACTGGTTCCTCCCAAAACCTTCATTTAAAGGAGGAGGCCAAAGCCAGCCATACCTTCATTGCTGCCCAGGGTACACTCCTCACTCTGGACTTTTACCACACTCTCATGTGAGGTACCTTTACCTTTTCTTGCCTAACCCTTTAATTTTCAGCTTCCTTTTGGGTATTGCCTTCACCTATTAGAATGCAAGTTTCTTGAGGGCAGAGGCTGTCTTTCTTGCACAGCACCTAGTGCACAGAAAGATGATTACTGAATGTTTATTGACTTGACTTGATGACGTTGTCCCTGATGCGAGGGCCAAGTTTGCTTTTTTTTTTTTTTTTTTTTTTACACCTTCTGGTTGTTCCTGATTTGTCCCTCTGGCATTTGAGTTTTGCTAGATGTTAATTTTATCCATATAACCAATAGTATTTTGCATCAAAATGGTGCAATAGAAGCCAAAAAAAAAAATCCCTTTTACTTCCATTCACATCTATTGAAGAAGCAGCATGGTATAATTTACATAGAATTGAACTTGGAGTCCGGAAGACATGGATTCAAGTTCTTCCTGAGATGCTTGTCTATGTAGCCCTTGTTAAGTCATCAGCTCTTTGGGCCTCAATTTCCTCATCTATAAAATGATTGGGATTGGACTTGAAGAACTTGAAGGTACTTTCCAGCTTTAAATCTATGACAACATCAGCTTTTCTGCAAGAAGGTAATCCTATGGGTCCAACAGAACTTAATGCTTAGAAAATGGTCACCACTTACCGCCTTCCAGTTACAACTGGCAAGAAATCGTTGGATTTGGCTTCAGTTATTTTAAATGTTACTTTCTGCAAATCTGAAATGCCAATAGCCATATCCTCCAGCATTCCAATTTCTTCACCTGAACAGGGAAAAAACCTCTCATTACAAACAAGTCATTTGACAAAAATGTCACTAGAGATTATCTGCCCATGATGGAACTGGCTCTAGGCACTTGAGTGAATAACACCAAGTACAGTGATTCCATTTGAAAAGCTTTCCCTTGGACCTGATGGCTTTCAGGGCTGAAACAAGTATGATTTTATCAGACTCCAACATTAAAGTTCTCTTAAAGGGAAGAAAAATGGCACATGCTTTCTTAGAGGCTGGAAGGAATTTTAACTAGGTTAGTAAAAGAAAAACCTTTTTGATGTTGGTAGGGCTGATATTTGATTTCCATCAATGCCAAAAGTGGCTAGATTAGAAACTCCTGGGGCTGGAACTATGCTATCTTTTTATTCCACTGCCCTAACTGGGAAAGCATCATGGGTAAAAGGCTTGTGTGCCCTAAACTCTGAATGGGTGACAGTCTTTGACATTAAATGGCAATATAACCCTCCTACATTTAAAAATGACAAATTCAGGGTTCTATATTAAAATTCACTACAATTACACTTTCAAAACAAACATTTGAGTATGAAAAGTTTCATTGTAGCATAGTCTTAGATGGGCAATTCTACTTTAAAAGTTGTTTGTTGTTTCTGTAAGATTTGTTAAGATGAGGAAGTAAATTCCTAGTGTTTCATGTTGATCTTAAAAGTTTTCTGGGTAAACATTCATGTGTCTGGTGGCATGTTCATAAAATTTACCAAAAGGAATAATACTTACTATACGTGCTCAGTAGTCCTTCAAACTGTACAACCAAGCCCACAGTGTGAAGTTGCTGGAGGAAATCAGGATCATGAAAACTTGAGTGTAATTTCATTATAAATCCACAGACCAATCCTGCAAGCTAAAAACAGGATGGTATAAATATACTTGAAGAGGCCTGTTAGCTTAATTTTTAAGTATTTCAAGAAAGTTAGTTCTTCATGGGTCTGAGTAAAAATGATTATAAGATTCATATTATTTAATAAAATTATATTTTTGGAACTTATACTACAATTTATATAACTATATACAAACCACCCACGCAAATATACATACACTATATGTATTTACATGTATATGCTTATATATGTATACACATATACATGTATACTTATTAAAGGCAATCTTTGGCACATGGAAGGGACCTATTAGGAGAGCATTTCCATGGAAGATGGTGGGCAATGGCAGAACCATTGAAGACAATGAGGTCATTTCGATGATCTCTTTTCACTTTGCCTCTTTATTACATTTTTCTGCGTTCTAGCCAACTAGAGGTATTGTTAGAGGAATTCTCAATATCTTTTGCCCAGCATTGAATACCCTGGATCCATTCTCTGCCTCATTTCTTATCTAGCCTTAATCGTTGAATGGGCATTGCCTCAGTCAAAATGAGACCTGTTAAAGACCTTAGCTTAAAAAGGCCATGGTCTCCCACTTCATCCGGGGCTATCTCTAGTCATCCTGATCTATATCTTGGCCATGGACCCAGGTGGCTCCAGAGGAAAAGGTGAAGCTGGTGACTTTGCACATCTCTCCCTCACTTAAATCCAATTGACTTGTATGTCATAGCATCTTCTCCCTGATGTCATGGTCTTCTTTGTGAATGAAGGACAAACAACAATAATGACTCAGCTTTTGTCTATGCATATGATCTTGAGTAAATCACTTCACATATTTGGGCTTCAGTATTCTCATCTATACGGTGAAGGGGGTTGACTAGATGCGATGTGAAGTACCTTCTAGCTTAGGATTTATGATCCTCTATTCCCTCCTGGTCAAACCTTAAAACCATTGGGTGGAGGAAAACATGAAGGACGGTAGCTTAATTAAAGGTCTTTTAAAATTTCAATGACTTCTTTCTTCTTAATGAACCTAGAAGCTGGTGTTAATATTATAAAAGAAGTTCATGAAAGTGTGAAGGAAAGAAAGCTTTTTTTTTCTTCCTTTCTAACCTTTTCTACCAACTGATCTTAATCAGCTTCGAGCCCCTAAGCTTCAATGATGAGTCTTCGCAAGCTGACAGCTCACCATAATTAGGCCCACCTCCCCAGGCAGCCTCTGTGTTGTGTGTCTATACATGCACATACTTATAAACATGACTGGCAGTGTTGCATGGAGAATGGAGTCTCACTCAGCCTGAAGGGCTGGGATCCTAAATTCAAATCCTGGCTCTGACACATATGAGTTATGTCACCATGGGCTAATCATTTAACTCTCCGAATGCCTTGAGCAAATCTCAAAGACTCTAAGTTACAGCTCACTTGCCAGCCTGCATCCATGGAAGGAATTTCTGCACCAAGAGTTCTCTAGAATGATAATTTAACAGGAATGTACAAAAAAAAAAGATAAACTATAATTAATTAATATAGAATATCTTGTTCTTGTCATGTAAACTAAGCTGGTACACTAGATGGATGGTATTCAGGCCACTAGTATATTTTATAATGCTACATTGAGAGAGAACCTGTGCCTTTCATGGAAATAGAGCTCCCTCAGTTGGAAAGGGAAGAAATTCCCCATGGTACTCCTTTCCAACTCATGTGCTCACTATAACACAATTCCCATCAACAAATTTGTAATCTAGCCATCTGAAGGTTAAAAGAAAGTAGTATCAGTCTGATGTGAATTACAGATAACTTTTCCAATGTGGATGTTCTATTTGCTAAGGACTGGAAAGAAACTACGAAGAAACTAGTTTTTTCTTTCTGCATCAGAGAATTTTTAACTTTTTTTTTTGGTATCATGGACCTCTTTGGCAGGTTAAATCCCACAAACAACTTCTCAGATTGGTTTTATTTTTATAATTGAAGGAAATGTTGCATTTTATTATTTTTAATTTTTAATTTATTTTTAGTTCCACATTCTTTCTCTTTTTCCCCTCTTTCCCCCACCTGGTGAAAAGGCAAGAAACATAATATCCATTTTATGTATATGAAGTCTTAGAAAATATACTTCTGCATTAGCCATGTTCTAAGGGAAAAAATAAAATAAGAAAATAAAGGAAAAGATAATATGCTTAAAGCTATAATCTGAGTCCATTTTCTATCTGTGGGTGGGTAGTGTTTTTTGTCATGAGTTTATTGGAGTTGTGGTGAATCCTTGTATTGATCAGTTATTCATTCTATCACAGTTGATAATCTTTATGATATTGCTACTCTGGAGATCTTTCTCCTGGTTGTTTACTTTGCAAGAGTTTGTCTTCCAAGGTTTTTCTGAAATCAATTTCTTCATTATTTCTTATAACATGAGAGTCTTACATCACATTCAAATACCACAGCTTATTCAGCCATTCCTTAGGTGATGGGCACCCCTTTAGTCACCAATTCTTTGCTACCACAAAAAGAATGACCATATGTATTACATACAGGTCTTTTTCCTTTTTCCTTGATCTCTTTGGGATACAGACCAAGTAGTGGTATTGCTGGGTCAAAGAGTATTCAGGCTTCTGGCCCTTTGGCCTTAGTTCCAAATTGTTCTCCAGAATAGTTGGACAAATTCACAGTTCCCCAACAGTGCCTTATTGTACCGATTTCCCCACATCTCCTCTAGCATTTGGTATATTCCTTTTCTGTCATCTTAGTCAATCTAATCGATGTGAAGTGATACCTCAGAGTTATTCTAATTCACATTAATCTAATTATTATTGATTTAGAGTTTTTTTATATGACTATTGATAGCTTTGATTTCTTCTTCTAATAACTCCCTGTTCACATACTTTGACCATCTATCAATTGGGAAATGGTTTTTATTTTTATAAGTATGGCTCAGTCTCCTCTATATTTAAGCAATCATACCTTTATCAGAAAATTTTGTTCTAAGTTCTTCCCCCTAGTTTCCTGTTTTTCTTCTAATTTTGGTTGCATTGGATATCTTTGTGCAAAAACTTTTTAATTTTATGTAATCAAAACTATCAATTTTACCTTTCATGATCCTCTTTATGACTAGTTTGGTCAGGAACTCTTGCCCCACACATAAATGTAACAGGCAATTTTTTTTCTCCCAATCCCCTAATTTGCATATACAACTCTGTATATGTAAAAATCATGTACCCATTTTGAGCTTTTTTGGTACACAATGTGAGGTGCTGGTCTACTCCTAGTTTCTTTCCATTTTCCCCAACAGTTTTTCTCAAAGAATGAGTTCTTGCCCCAGTAGCTAAGATCTTTGGGTTTATGAAACATGAGGTTACTGTGCTCATTTGCTTCTACATATTGTGTACCTAACCTATTCTATTGCTCAAATATTCTATTTCTCATTCAGTACCAAACTGTTTTGATGATTGTTGCACTTTGTAATACAGTTTGAAATCTGCTAGGCTCCCTTCCTTCAGATTTTTTTAATTGATTCCCTTCATATTCTTGACCTTTTGTTTCTCCAAATGATTTTTTTCCCCTAGCTCTATGATGTAATTCTTTGGTTGTTTGTTTGGAATACTGAATAAGTAAATGAATTTAGGTAGTATTGTCATTTTTATTATATTGGCTCAGCCCACCTGTGAGCAATTCATATTTCTCCAATTATTTAGATGTGTTGAAGAGTGTTTTGTATTTGTGTTCATATAATTCCCATGTGTCTTGGAAGGTAGACTCCCAAGTATTTTATATTGCCTATAGTTATTTTAAATGGAATTTCTTTTTCTATTCTTCCTGCTAGATTTTGTTAGTAATTTGCCAAAATGTTAATGATTTATGTGGTATTATTTTAGATCCTGCTACTTTGTTAAAGTTGTTAATGATTTCAACAAGGGTCTTCTAAATAAATCATCATATCATCTGGAAAGAGTGATAATTTTGTTTTCTGTTTGCAATTTTTATTCCTTCAATTTCTTTTTTCTTGTCTATAACTGCTATTGCTAGCATTTTGAGTACCATAGCGATAATGGACATCCTTGTTTTACCCAATATCTTGTTGGAAAGGCTTCTAGTTTATTTACATTACAGATTATGTTTGCTCCTGGTTTTAGGTGAGTACTACTCATCATTTTAAGAAATGTTCCATTTCTTCCTATGCTTTCTATTCTTTGTATTAGAAATGAGCACTGTATTTTGTCAAAAGCTTTTTCTGCATCTATTGATGTAATCATGATTTTTTTTTGCTATTTTTGTTATTTAGATGGTCAATTATACTTGTAGTTTTCATAATACTGAACCAGTCCTGCATTCCTGGTATCAATTCAGTCTAGTCATAGTTCATGATTTTTGTAATAAATTCCTATAATCTCCTTGCTAGTATTTTATTTGTTTTTTGCACCAATATTCATTAGGGAGATTGGCTTCTAGTTTCTATTTTTGCTGTCCCTGGTTTAGGTATTAAAATCATATTTGTGTCATTAAATATCTGCTCTATCTCTCTTTTATTGATGTAAACACTTAGAAATATAAATTTTCCCCTAAGTATTGCTTTATATTCCGCAAAGTTTGGTATGCTGTCTCATTGTTCTTATTCAGTTATTTTAATCATATCTGACTCTTCATGACCTCATTTGGAGTTTACTTGGCAAAGATATTGGGATGGTTTGCCATTTCCTTCTCCAGTTCATTCTATGGATAAGGAACTGAGGCAAACAGCATTAAGGAACTTGCCCAGGGTCACACAGCTAGTAAGCATCTGAGGCCAGATTTGAATTCACTGAGATAAGTCTCCTGACTTCAGGCCCAGCATTCTATCTACTGTGCCACTTAGCTGGCTCTATCCCATTATTGTCATTATCTTTAATAATATTATTGTTTCTTTACTTTGTCTGATGTCATGATAATTATCTCTGCCTTTTTTAATTTAGCTGAAACATACTAGATTCTGGTCTAGCCCTTTATTTTAACTCTTTGCGTGTCTTTCTGTTTCAAGTGTGTCTCTTGTAAAAAATACATTGTTGGATTCTGATTTTTAATGCATACTGCTATATGCTTCTCTTTTATGGGTGAATGCATTCCATTCACACACACAGTTATGATTGCTAATTTTGTATTTCCTTCCACCCTATTTTTTTCTGTGTATCCTTCTCATTTTTTATCCTGTCCCTTCTTCAAAAGTTTATTTTGCTTCTGACTACTGCCTTTCTTAATCTAACCTCCCTCTTCCTACCCTCCCTTTCCTTAGCCCCTTCTCCACCTACTTCCCTATTAAGATGATTTCTATAACACTGTATGTGTGTATGCACACATAGATACATACATAATACATATGTATGTATATATTCCATGAACCAGTTCCGATGAGAGTGAGGTTCAAGTGTTGTCTACTTCTCCAATTTGCTTTCCATTGTATAAACTCTTCCTTATATGCCTTTTTTATATGAGTTAATTTTCCCCACTCTTTATCTCTCTTCCATCCTCTTTCTCAGCCTTCAATTCTTCTTTCAAGATTATCTCGATATAATAGGCTAATATCCATGCCCTTAGTCTAAGTAAATTCTTTCTAAGTGCCCTAATGATGAAAAAAGTTCTTAGTGGTTACAAATATCACCTTCCCACATAGAAATGTAAATAGTTCAACCTTGCTAAGTCTCTTATTACCTCTCACTTATGTTTACTTTTTTATGCTTCTCTTAAATCTTTGGTTTGAATGTTAAATTTTCTATTGGCTCTTGTCCTCTCATCAGGAATACTTCAAAGTCATCTATTTCATTAAATATTTGTTTTTCCCCTGTAGGACTATTCTCTGTTTTCCTAGGTAGGTTATATCATATTCTCAATACTACACTTTATTGTAGTAGCTGCTAAATCTTGTGTGCTGCTGACTATGGCTCTATAGTATTTGCTTTATTTCCTTCTGACTTCATGAGTATTTTCTCCTTAAGTTGAGAGCTCTAGATTTTGGTTATAACATTTTCTGGGAGTTTTCATTATTTTGGGATCTCTTCAGGAGGTCACTGGTGTATCCTTTCAATTTCTACTTTGCCCTTTGGTTCTAAGATATCAGAACAGTTTTTTTAATAACTTTTTGAAATATGATATCTAGTCACTTTTTTATCATGATTCTCAGGTAGTCTAATAATTATTAAATGATTTCTCTACAATCTATTTTTCCAAATCAATTGTTTGTCCTATGAGATATCTAACATTTTCTATTTTTTCCAGTCTTTTAGCTTTGTTTTATTGTTTTCTGATGTCTCATGGAGTCATTAGCTTTTTCCATTCTAAGTTTTAAGGAGTTATTTTCTTCAGGGAGATTTACTACCTCTTGCCATTTGATCAATTCTGATTTGTAAGGATTTATTTTCTTCAGTATTTTTCTGCCTCTTTTACCAAGCTGCTTATTTTCTTTTCATTATTTTCTCACATAGTTCTAATTTTTTTCCCCAATTTTTCTTCTACCACTCTTATTTGATCTTAAAACCAATATTTTTGCTCTTTTAAAAATCTCTTTCTTTAGCTCTTCGAGGTTAGGGTGGTATTCAACCTGCATTTTTTCTCCGAGGTTTTGCTTATAGATGTTTTCAAGTCATTGTCTTTTTCTGAGTTTGTGTCTTGAGCTTCCCTGTCACCAAAGAAGATTTTTATGATCAGTTTTTTTTGGTTTTGTTTTGTTTGATCATTTTCCACCCTATTGCTTGACTTCGAACCATGTGTTATAACTACATAGTTCTAACAACACGTAGTTGGGCTTTGCTCACCTCTGCAAATGGGGGATGTCTGATTTAAGTTTCTGTCTGTTATGACCTCTTGCTGCTTTTATACTTTAGTGGGGCCTGTGGGTTTTTGGTGTGGTGGGGGGAAGTCTGGTCACCGTCCTCCTCGTCTGTGCTCTGGTCCTCACATAGCTAGGATCCCTGTTCCCTTGCAGCCGCACCCACGCCTCCCCACCCTAGAAATGGGTAAAGGGTGACAAAACTACCGAACAGCACCTGAGCCCAGTCCTAGCATAGGTGTCACTAGGGTCTCTTTCTGATCAGATGTTCGGTTCCCATACTGTCCCTGGACACTGGGCCACTCCCTTCAATTGCTGCCGCTGCCCGGGATTACTGCCACCACTGGTGCTGCTTCTGCTACATGTATTCCTGGCAAACCTCTGTCCTACTGTCCAAAGTCCTATTTTTCTGTCTTCCTAAGCTCCCTTGAGCTGGAAAAATGATTCACTTTGACTTTTAATTGGCTTTCCTGACCAGAATTTGGTTTGATGCAATTTTTTAGGTTGTTTTGGAGGGGGTATATTGGGAGAGCTCTGTAAAATGATGTTTTCACTCTGCCATTTTGATTGTGCCAAAACGATACATTTTAATTAGATCTTAAAGAAAGATATATATTTTCCCCGTCCCAAAGTAATGGACTCCTAAAATCTATTTACAGTCTCTTTAGGAATGAAATGACTGCAGAACTCAGCTCTGAGATAGAACTTTCTGGAAATTCTAGATGTCCCTTCCATGGAATGGAAGAGCGAGCACAGACATGTATATGTAGAAGGAAAAGAGATCAGAAATTGAATGCTAAAGTTAGATGACTTTTAAAAATGAATCAGGCACCATTGCCTGGCTCTTAGGAATATTAATATTCTCATCAACAAAACCAACAAGAAGGCAAAACAGCATCTACCGCTTGGCTGAAGACAACGTCCCTCCTGAGGGTCAGCATCAGGCACTGTGGCAAGCTGCATGCAAGCTCCTGCAGGAGCACGAACGTCAGAGACTGCTTGGCCCTGTTCACCATGTCCCCCATGCAGTCCTTCAGGGTCAGGATCAGAGGGTACAGCTGCTCGTACCAGTCCTCTAGAAACAGAACAGAACAAAACAGGGTATTGGGGCATAGGACAACTGGAAGAAAGATCCCAGGGCCCACGTTACGCAGGCCACTTCTCTTCCCAAGCAGAGATTTGGGGATATTTAACTCTCCCACGAAGGTTCGGCCTATAGGTCAAATAAAGATTTTATATGTTTCATGATGTGGAAGAACAGAGGGATATCAACTTGTTGGCAAACTTAAGGGACCAGAATCCAATAAAGAGTTAAAAGAATGTTCTCTTCACTATGTGGACACTTGGGTTTTTAACCTCCATCCTAATTATAAATATAATGAATTATGTAAGTGCTAACTCCTTTCCTCAATTGCAGATTTTATTTAGAAAAGAGAGTTCTGCCTGGTGTCAGTTATTACAAATTCTGGAGGACTATGTGACATTCCACTTAATGTACTCAGAGATTAAACAGTAGGATGACAAATTAAATTTAATATGGATGAATGCATGCTGGAAAATGATTTATGCATGAAGGCAGGCCCTGAGATACATGATCAGGAGACAAAGATGAGGGTGTCATGGCGGTTAACTGGAGGCAGACCTTCATCCAGGGGTCTCTCACCAGTTAGGGGATGGAAAAGGGTAAGGAAAACAATCCTAAAGTATCATAGTCACAATCTCATCTTGTCCAGTTTCATTAACTCAAATTAAGTGGAATACAAGGACCCAGATAAGGATAACCAAAATGGTTGAAGGGATTTACATCTCATTAAAGGCTGCAAATTAGTTTGAAATGTACTTCTATTAAGTCCCTAGTTGTCTGACTATATAAATAAAAGATTTTAGGGACTTTTAGGAGCATTATACAAAGGGCTTACTGAAGAATTCAGAATTATGGAGGCTATTTCGAAGGCACATGCAAACCCTTTGAAGAAAAACAACAATGGCAGAGGAGGGAGAGAAATTCACATAATGAAAGTGAAACTAACCTGTCAGTAAATAAGATGACCCTCTGAATAAGGATTCATGATTATGCCAGTGGAGGCACACTCTTTACCCATGCAGTTCAGAACCCCTCCATGCTTTAATAGGTTGTCTTCATGACTTCCTCAACTATTCCAATTAATCTATGATTTCACTGCTTTGGGTGTTCCTACAGTGATGGAGACTATAAGCCATGGCTGCCTGTGCGCCTAGTGGGATTCTCCTCCATATCCTTATACAACTTTACCACAAGCGTTCCACCCAATCCCCTGGGAGGGTGGGGTGTGAGGGAAGAAAGCACTGAGGACACCAGTAGAGCACTTAGCCTGTCCACCTGTCAAGCTTGGCTTTTGCCATATGACTGGTCTATCTTTTTCACTCATACATTTGCCTGATGATAGCCTTCATTCCAGCTCTTCTCCAGTTATTTGCTACATGCTACAGCTTGCTCATACCTACCCACTTTGCATGTCTCTTTTGCCCTCTGTGGGATGCTCATTGTTAAATCTTTAGACTACAGTATTCCATGGATCATACCTATATATCACCATTAATATTAGTCTGAAATTATTTATTCATTATATTTAATTCTTAAATATTATTCCTAAATGGGCATTTGTTTCTGTGAGAAAGTTTGGGGTGATTAAAAGAGTTTTATAAAGTCCTGATGGCAAACCAGTCCATTCTCTTCCTCCTATTTAACTTGGGGTGCAGCTCATTGTCCATTGGACTGTCTGCCCCATATGTATATAAACTGAAAAGGTTGTCCATTTAATTGTATATCATAATCTGGGCCATCAGCATATTAATTATTAGCTGCTGTTGGCAAAACCTTGGTGGCCAGATCTCCGGTAGTGAAACTCCAAGTTTAGCTAGATAGCTAACAACAGACTATATAGACCTTTTCTAGTCCTATTCTCAAAGCCTCTTCAGGTTGGTAAGAACTGGGAGTTTATTTGTCTAGCATAACCTTAGACTGAGAATGAACATAGATTCACTACCAAGTCACATGGAGATAAACAACTAAGAGTTCAGTGAAGCAGCCAACAGTAGAGGACTCTGAGCAATTCCACTTTGCAGGAGTCTAACACTATGTGTCTTGTATGTACATAAGCATTTGCATTTCGTCTCCTCCATCAGAATGTGAACATTTTGAGAGCAGGAACTATTTATGCCTTTCTTCATATCCCTAATGCTTAGCACAGTGCCTGATGCATAGTAGGAGCTTAATCAATGCTTGCTGGCTGAGTAAATTATAGATAGTGGTTAGGCTTTACAAAGTGTCAGGTTATTCGTAATCTTTGCCTCCTTAATGATTTGTAAAGATTACATTGGGTTAATCTTCTTTTTACCAATACTAACAATAGTCTTATTTTCAAGCCACGAGATCATCAGCAATACTCACAAAAGAACATCCTATGCTCTCCTTTTCTCTTTCCTTGCCCTTTCTTTTCTCTCTATCTCTCCATTCCCCCTTTCCACTCTCTTCCTTCCCCCCCTTTTCTCTAAATCTCACAGGCTTATGCACGCAGCCTCTCATCCACAAAGAAAAACACACAACTTAACACTTTCCCCTGAAAGACTTGAATATTGTTACTAATTGATGCATATAACGAATATGCCAAAGCTACAGAGAGTACAGTGTAGCTTTGATTATTGAACTGGGTTGTGAGAACTGTCATGACTAACTTCTTCACAGAAGACTTACTTACTGAATGAAAGATAAAGACTACATACAGTAGATGGCACTGGTTTATCAGGTTAAAATGGGACTACTGTATTTATTGTCACTCATTCAGTTTAGTTCAGTACATATGTATTAAGTACACTGTGCGCAGAACAGAGCTAGACACTAGCATCATCTTCTTACAACATGAATAGAATGTATTCCTTCTGGCAAAAAAAAATGGAAAGTTAAGTGGATCTTTGTTTTGTTATTGTTTAAACGAAATAGATGAGATGTAGAGTTCTGGAAAGTTCCTTCTTAAAAAATCTATTTAATATAGTTTCTGAGTCTGAGCCAGTAAGATCTTTAGACCAACAGTCAAGTCAATATCATACTAATCTTAAGTTCTCTGCTAAGAATTCATTTATTCTTCATTCAAAATATATTTTCCCATGTGAAATGAATGGGCCGTATTAGGCTGGGTGGGACAGGAGTGGGGATGCCAAGGCATTTGAGACAAATCTTTGTCATTTAGGAGCTGTCTTCATCTTAGAAGGAGAGTAAAGAATAGAGGAGAAGTATATCTGACTCTGGATAAATTTTAATCGATTTAATTTAATTTAATTAAAGCTGAAACTGTGAATACCTTAGTCAGCAATAAAATCTTATCTTGATCTATTATAATTACATTAGAAATCTTATTATAAAATTTTCATATTTTTAAAGTGACATAAAAAGAAAATATTGATGAGGAATGAAAGAATTACAAGTTAATTTACCAGGTAGAATACTTAATATTCATTTGACAGTTACTAAGAGCATGGATAAGCTTTGGTTGACACAAAGACTTTAAAAATAGCATAATTCTGTCCCTCAAAGAGATAATAAACACAAAATATGCTGCAAACCTCAAAGTGCTATACACATGTTAGTTGTTGTTATTGTTGTTAGAAATACAATATGTACATAAATAAATGTAATACAGGGCAGAGATGGAGAGAGGAGAGTTCTCAAAAAGTGCTCTAGGAAAACTTGATGAGGGAGAATACTTAATTTAATTTTTTTAGTCTTTTTTTAGTCTTTTTTTTTTGGCACAACTTATTTCCCCTATATTCTCTCCCACTGAATCCTTCCTAATAACAAAGAGTTAAATAATGCTCAACTTGAAAGTAATCTCTTCTAAAAGTATATGCACCTTTCTTCTCCAGTGGAGACTCCACCCCTTTACCAAGAGGAGGGTAGTAAATTTTATCATCTGTTCAAGAGAATAGTTTTGTTGATTTATTCAGGGAAGGCCTGTTTGAATGAGGTGACATCAGAACTGAGTCTTGATGGAAGAGAAGGATGTTGAAAAGTAGGGATGAGGAAGAACAACATTCCAGGTCTGTGATAATCTATAGGTGTAAGTGATAAAATGTTTAACTGAAGGGACAGTTGGTGGTCTGAGAGCCTTAAAAGTCAAGATAAGGTAAAGAGAGTTTGCATTTCATTCTGTGGGCAATAGTGAGTCATTTGAAGGTTTTGAACAGAAGACCATTATGATCAAGTCCATCCATAGGTGAGAGAGACTTGGTGGAGGTTCAAATGCCAGACTGGATGGGGAAGGTGCAAAGGGAGGGAAAAAAAAAAAAGACTTCAAAGTTTTTTAAGCAGGGATGATGAGGATAGTAGTGGCATAAAAAGCAACAAGAGAGTTGAGAGCAGAAGCAAATTGAGGAAGATTATAGCTTCAATCTGAGACATGTTGAGTTTGAGAAGTGAACCACCTATGGGGACAATATTACAAGTAAGAAAGCTACAAGTAAATTTGACTAATGCATACGTGTTTGGCAAACAAAAAAGAATTTTAGGACACCAGCAAATGCAAGTTGAAATAACTGCAGGATTTTTACCTTGTTAATATTCATCCAATGTGCGTCTTAGATTCAGAAATAGAAACAGGAGTTTAGGACAAACCAAAGAGAAGGAGAAATCGGCTCCTAAGTGGCTTTTTTGCTCCAGGGAGCGCTCCAGCCAACTCACATGAAAACGGCAAATATTTGGGGATTTGGCAGTTTTGAGACTTGTCTCATCCTCTTCCCTTTTGCTTTACTTCAAACTTGACCACACCTAAATCTACCTTCTGGCTAAGTGAATAAGATTTTTCAGTCTGTATTATGTAGCTTCTTAAAAAAAATCATGACCTTCACAAATTCATTTTTATGATTACAGTTCATTTTCTTGAGTATGCAATTAGGTAATAACAGTACCCAATGAGCCACAGGTGCCACTAAATGCCTACAGTGTAGCCCCTACATAAATAACTCATATTAATTAGCTAAAATGGGAGGCCTATAGAAGTATGCACTATCCAGACTTTTGCAGCAATGGAAAAAAATAGGAAG